ACCTAGCCAAGGGCTCTTTTACGAGTCAGATAAGAGTGGGATTCACGTGAACATCAGCGAGTAAAGATCCTGCACGCGATTTTCAAGAGGACCATGACTAAAGACCAGCGTTCCCGATTAAGAGTCTCTGATGTAGACTGTGGGGTACCCAATTACGTGGTTTGGGCGCAAGTACCGCGGCTTGTTTTACTTGCAATGCTTTGGTCACTAAAGCTAACAAACCTTCGGGCCCATGCGATTGATGCAGAAAGCTGTGCTACAGGCTGTATCAGTCTCTCGAAATGCCTCGGCTAGTTTGCTTCGTGACTTACAGATCGATCCGGCAGTGTTCCGCGTCTAAGCACTGAAAAGAACTCTAACTCACGGTAGCTCATGAGGGGACGCCTTTCCAGATTTACGTTATCAGTACAGACGGTGGCCCAGTAGTGCTGATCCACCACCAAATTGTCACAAGGTCGAAAGCCGATGTTCAACACTGCTCATTGTCAGCGTGAAAGATGCTGCCCAAGTCGGGAAACTACAGACCGTACCTATCTTCACTATTCCTAACAGGGAGACTTGGACGCTGTCTGCAGAGAACGGAACGCCATTGGCGATCAGATGCTGAATACCATCGAGAAGCTGCTCCATACTCAGCATAGCTTCAAGATTTCTACATCTACGCTAGCTTACCTGGGATAAGGCGGATGCTAGTTCCACTTCTGTCGTTAAGAAAAGGCTCGCTAAGTCTACTTCGAGATGTTCGTAAATGACGTAACTCTTCTTCTCGTTCAGAAATATGGCATGGATTGTGGCAATGTTAGGATGGAGAATGTGGTGGACGAGATCCAAATTGCCTAGTCGAGTCGAGCGCAACACCGCGACTGTGCTGTTCTTGCGATGCCGGACAAGGGCTATGCTGGCATTAGCGCGAATTATATCATAACGGTCCTCCAGGGAGTCTGTTGTGTAAATCAACACAAGGCGCTTGACGCGAGATGACGGCATGTCGTCTTTGAGACGAGAGATATCCAGATTCTTACTGCTCCAAATACTTGCGCTGAGGGCAAGGTTATAGTCATGGCCATGCTATAACGTTCTAGTTCTATGTCTTTTGTTTCTTATTTAGCCCTGCGTCATCATCAATCAGTAGCATATCAGTTGACCTGACCCTCCGACTTCTTGTAAGGCTCCTGACGTGACTTTGGCTGGCTTCTCGCTATCTGATGAAATTCTATTCGTCCTCTCGACGATCTTTGGGTCGTCTGTTTTGTTTGGTTACTATTACAATAACAAACTAGCGGTATGTAAATACGGGTGAATATGTCGCAAATCCGTGCTTACGTTAGTGGGTTTCGCTAGAGCAAAGACTGTCGGGGTTCCTTTCTCCAAGCTTCTTCACGGTTTGATCATTCGTGAAATCGTAGCAGACATCTTCTGCCACTGGGGTGACGTAAAGGGGTTAGGTCATCGTATTGGCCAGAACGTAATAACTCACAAGTCAATACAAGCCTGCCAATGACGTACCAATTGCAGAGTCAGTGATTTCTGCTGTATTCCATAGACCACTTTATTTCACAAAGCTCTCCATCTGTCACCGTCAGCGTACATAGCATCAGATAGGGTCATGATGACCACGTCTTATGGCCTATGTCGTGACACTTTGAACCACAGTAGTCATCATTCCGTAGTCTGACGACTCGAACTACTTAGGAAACCATCTGAGCGAGTAGACATGCCAGTTATGTCTCACTCATTGAGCCGGGTATGCCATTTCTGCTCCCAGGCATATTCGTCTATCGTTACAAATCGTTGCCTATACGATGGTCACTATTGTTGCGTGAACAGAAAGGGTGCGAAAAGAAAGAGATGCATGGACATTATGGGGTATGGAAAGAACGGCATAGTTCGAGGCCGACCTCAATCTTTCCGTGGTTGCTGGCAGGATTGCACATACCCGTTGCAGTGCAAAGAAAGTTCTGATGGGGAGTTATGGGACGATTGCACCTAAATGATAGCAGGTAAAGTGTGATAAGATATATTAATTGATTGTTGTGAGTTCATGAAATAAGAAGGGAAGTGAGTCTATATGCTGCGAATACAGCAAAGGTTTATCAAGATGCCGATTAGTCGTTGAGTCTTGAAATACGGGTAAGAGGGCTTTTCAGGTGTGAACTTTTAGGCTTGGAGTGCAGCATGGCGCCATGATCGCAATGCGATCTCCTCTGCAGACTAAGGCTCATGATCTCTAAGAAGAGAGCTTGATATCTATAAAGATATATGTACGTAACAAATATGTATGTAAGACATCATTTCTCAACTACGCAACGCCGTAAGTGACTCAAGCCAGTCGGAATACTTGGCGTCCTTCTACTATATCTGCTCCCTGATAGATAGAACATTGGGAGCAATACTCGCAGTAAGACAATACCTCCTGTTCCTTGCCCGATTTTAGCCGCCTGGCCCCGTGATCTGTGACACCTTTGATGCATCACTCAAGTAAGGTGACCGAACCGGGGCGCTTGATAGCGTGTCCAGACCTTTTAACAGTAACGCCAGAAGGTTACATGAGGTCAATAAAGGTATAACAGAAGATGTTGACCGCAACGGTTACGCTTGAACTTACTGCGCCCACAATATCAACTTGCTTTCCAAAGACTATTGTACGATCTCTGGCATTCGCTCTTTTTCTCCACTTTTTATCAAATAGCAAGGAAGTATCAGAAATACGACTCAGTCTCAGATGCGATCGACCAAGCTACGACAGTCGCCGAGTCGAGCCTAGGCCACCGATAGTCCGAAAATCGTGCAAGACATATAGAAGCCCTCTACATCGGGTAACAATCTGGCTCGGGAAGCAACGGAAACAGGGAAGCCCAATATGACATCTGATAACGCTGCGACGACCGCTACACAACCATCCGACTGAAAATACTGGGCGAGAAAGGTCGCAGGGCAGACCTCACTGACGACTTTCAGGCCAGGCAGAAGGATTCTGTGGCATCGCGGGATCTTCTTCGAACCGGGGTTATATGGTTTGTTGTTATGGTAACTATCTCCGTTGCATCCCATCATTGGCTATGGCGGTTGAAGATCAGAAAAGTACAAAAAGTCTGCGACCTGACGACGCCAGGCTGCGTTTCTCTCGACGCACCGTCCGCACAAGAGCCATCTCCAGCATGTCCGTTTTCGAACGTGACCTTCCAAATTCGCCAGCCCAGCAGATGAACCAACTTTCTGTTGCTCTCAGCGCCGTGGAGCAAGAGATCAAAATGCTTCAGGATAGGTTAGAGACACTGGAAAGAGAAAGACAGCGGCAAGACATCCTGATAGCGCTCCAGGACCAATATATTGAGGTTTTGGAGAAGGGCCTGGCATTGGAGACACCGATATATCGGACGGAAGATAGCTATAGAGAGAGCCGTAGCACCACCCAGGTCGTCTAGTAGAGCCGCGGCTTCTAATGTCACTTCTTGCCTGACCTCTTCCCTCCAATACACTATTACCAATCCAATTTCGATCGTGCAGGAGGTACCATCGCACGTGGAGCATGCTGCGCATTTGAGGATCGATTCGTCTGTGGGTGTGA